GGCTGCATGCAGCCCCCAACCTTATACCTCTGTCCTTCCTCATATGTCTTCCCTCCATCCATCCCACAAGGTGGAATATTCTGCACATACCTTGTTGTGTCTCCTTCTTCCTCCTGTCTATGTGTCTTTGCTGTGGGTACCCAGCATCCCGCAGCCTGCGCGCTGTCCCCTCACACTGCAGTGTTGCTGATGCAGACGAAACACATTGCTTCCTCCTGCATGCTGGTCACCTTCCTGCACTCTCTCCCTCCCGTCTCTCCCCCTCATCCCCTCTCAGCAGCAGAAGGATGCTCACAGGCTCTGCCTGCGTCTACGGCATCCTCATCATTATTATCATCATTATTATTATTATGCAGGATTTATATAGCGCCAACAGTTTACACAGCGCTGTACAAAATAAAGGGAGACGGTACAATTCAATACAGGAGGAGCCGGCTGTGTTTCTGTTTACTATTATCCAGTGTGTGTGTATACGGTATAATCGCCGCGTACTTCAATGTCTATTTATATATCGCCTTTCTGTGGGGGTGTAAAGAGACGGCGCACATGTCTGCGTACATATATATATATATATATACTGTACATGTGTGTCTCTGTATAGTCATATACTGTACATGTGTATCTCTGTATAGTCATATACTGTACATGTATACTGTACATGTGCATCTCTGTATAGTCATATACTGTACATGTGTATCTCTGTATAGTCATATACTGTACATGTGTATCTCTGTATAGTCATATACTGTACATGTGTGTCTCTGTATAGTCATATACTGTACATGTGTGTCTCTGTATAGTCACATACTGTACATGTGTGTTTGTGTATAGTCATATATTGTACATACGTGTCTCTATATAGTCATTTACTGTACATACGTGTTTGTGTATGGTCATATATTGTACATGTGTGTCTATGTGTTTATCTATATATATGTGTGTCTGTATATTTATTTATATATGTATTCATGGAAGTGTTTATATTTGTACCTATATATGGGTCTACATATGTATCTGTATGTGTGTGTGTGTGTGTGTCTACATATGTATCTGTGTGTGTGTCTACATATGTATCTCTATGTGTTTGTCTACATATATATCTCTATGTGTGTGTCTACATATGTATCTCTATGTGTTTGTCTACATATATATCTCTATGTGTGTGTCTACATATGTATCTCTATGTGTTTGTCTACATATATATCTCTATGTGTGTGTCTACATATGTATCTCTGTGTGTGTGTCTACATATGTATCTGTGTGTGTGTCTACATATGTATCTCTATATATGTGTGTGTGTGTTTCTACATATGTATCTGTGCGTGTGTGTGTGTGTGTGTGTCTACATATGTATCTGTATGCAGTGGCGTCACAAGGGGGGGTGCGGCTCGCACCCGGGTGCCACCATTGGAGGGAT